TGTGTAAAACTTACGTGCGGTTGACGTCATATTGTGGGCGTCGTCGCCTGCGCAGGAGGAGGATAAACGGATGCTAATTTATTTTAAACAAAACTCATTTCGTTCATTGACGCAAGACGATGTCAATACAACAGAAAGACAGTAAACACCGAGTTTAAGCTTCGAAAGTCAAGGTAAGATTGTTTTTTAGACCTGGCCAACCAGTCAGTCTCACCTGAAGGAAAGATAAAAGAAAGGCAGAAATAATAATAGTCTCTCTAATGATTTGTCAGGTGTGTCATCATGGGGTCTTGGATGTTGGTTTGGATTCTGTGTACCACAGTCATTCTGAGTGAGTGTGTCTGGCGTTATTGAATGAAATAGTTCATTATTAAACTATAAAACTTGTTTGGACATGTAATATTACTTCAAAAACAAGTCTAATCATTTTTTTTCCTCGTCAGCAAAGAACAGTTTTATCCACAAACATTCATCGAATTAAAATTGTTTAAGTAAAACATGGAAATTACATCAATACAGAAAATGCATCAAAATAAACACTGTAAATAAAAATGCTATTTTAATAGTAGAATGCATTTTCAAAAAATACTTGTATTACATTCATTAATTTTTTTTTCACCAATTATTAGAGTTATTTAGAGTGATTAAATTATTTTCATGCTTGAGTGAAAGTTTTGCATCCTAAAACTATTGCTTTATGATTATTATGCATGCATTCCTCAAAAAAAGTAGTGAAACTGTAAAAGGCATTGGAACTAGTCAGTTTGCAAACCCTATTATATGTAATATAACATATTAATTATTTTTGAATTACTGTCCCCAGTGCCTGTGTGTCTTAATGGACCAATAACAGTACATGTTAAGACTGGACGACCTCTCTATGTTGCGCTTGGTCAAAATATTGTTTTGGAAGCCGAATTCAAGAAAAATCCAGACGACGTGATAGTCATGGTGACGTGGGACCTGGAGAGAGGGAAGGACACTATCAGACTCTCGGCTGCTCAGGGAAGCAGAATATCTTTGGAGAAAAACAATGCACTTCTGCAGATCTCTCATGTTGCAGAAGGAGACTTTGGGATCTACAAGGTCACCGTTACGGACAGTAATGGCTATCAGGAGCATGACTCTGTAGAAGTGCGAAAGATAGGTAAATATATGACCACAGTGTTAGTTCAGACTGACCTGTGCACCAGCTGTTTTGAATATTTTCAAGTCATGCACAGCTATTTAAGTCTAAAGGCATGTCATGCATAACACGCATGCACACAACCAGTTGAACAAGTTTCTTTTTTTACATCTACTTCTTTCAGAGGAACCTCCAAAGGCGTATATTGCACGCATGTTGGAGTGTGTGGTGGATAAACATGACAAGGCGCAGTGGGACAGTCCTCAGTTCTCATGGCTGGTCGATGGCATTCCAGTAACCAATCAAACCGGCAGTAGACTCAACATCTCAGAGGTTCAGGGAGTTAACTACACCTGCGTCATCAAGAATAGCCTCAACGTAACGTTCATGACGCATTATAAAGCACCAAAAGGTATTTTGCAATGTCAAGAATGTATACAGTAGCTAGGGTTTGAATTTTTAACCATCACGATTCAGATTCTTATCAATTCCTAATTTCTATTCCAAAAACAGACTGTTCTGATGAAATGGCGTATTTTCATTTTTGGCGTGCTAGCAAAAAAATTATAGTCTATAGGATACAGAAAGATAATAGCCTACAAATAAAATTTCACTCACCAAGCCAATCACTTGAAGCCAATATCCATCCCTTCGCCGCGCCAGCACGCGCGTTGGGCCGTTTAGTGAAACCGACGCACATAATCTTAACGGCAGATGAACCTTAAATCTTCATGAGTAGGCTAATAAATAAAGTGCACGTTCTCAATAACAGTTTAAATAAATTTTACTTCTGATAAACATTTAGATTAAATATGCCATTCTCGTTAATGGAGTTAAACACTTAAACTACATGAAATCATTACTGAGAAGTTACAAAAAATATATATCCAATAAATAGAAATATAGGCTATATTTGAAGAGTTCAGATGCAAAAGCCTCGAAGTGCCATTTGAAATTTTCTTCTAGAATGACCATTTTTATCAAGCTTGTGTATTTAAGTTCAGTGATTTCACTTAAATGACAATTAATAGGTAATCTTCATTGCCATTTAAGTGAAATTACTGGTCTTAAATATACAAGCTTGATAAAAATGATTTCAAATGGCACTTAAAAGCTTTTGCATCTGAACTCTTCATTTGTTGTGGATGCAATGCTTTTGAACATTTTCCCTCTGGCATGCAGTGTTCCACAAAATAGTTCCATAATCCACAACCATGTCTATCTGTTTCCATTAAAAATATAAATTCATTAAAAATACTATTTGGCCAGTTGAAAAGATTGAGAAAATCTTTCTCTGAAATGTATTTGACACTATTTGATTCATTCATTCAAAAACAAGGCAAGGATATAGGCTACTAAAAAAATAATAATAATAATTTATTGCGACACAGCACATCTGTATTTCATATTTTCCTAACGTCTTGTACGTTAACATGGTCTCACGTGGATGAATAATCACATGCAAATGATATGCAGATGAGGATATGCATATTTAAACTAGGCGTTGTAAGCTCCATATATGGTTATTTCGGGGAGGAGACGCATGTGCGCGCATTCTTCCGCTGACTGGGATTTATAAAGGGAATTCTGCGCAGGTTCTGGCGTACGCACGGTTTTATAAATCTGAATTTTTTTTTTTTGGCTTTCGGGCGCACGTACACTTTTAGTAATGGATCCTACGCACAGTTTTATAAATGAGACCCCAGGACTCTCGCGTTGCTCTCCGCCGTTTTGAAAAGGTCAAAGGTTATCTCATCTCGGCAACTCGTGCATCAAAATATTCTAGGAGCTGCCCAGTGGAAAATACCACATGAGGTGGTGTTCACTGTTCATGTGCATTTTCCACATAATTACCGCAGCACGTCAAGGCTCCAATAGTAACATAGCTGATTTAGCTGAATAACGTTAACAAATCGAATATTTTATTGTAAAGTGTTACAAAATATTTTACATATACTTTTTTTTTCAAGGGTTGTTATTCATCAAAGCTTTTGTGGAATGAGTGCATAACATAAATCATATTAATAAGACAAGCCTTTATTTCATTATTGCATCATAACCTGCTTGTCTGTGGAAACGGTCCTCACCACTTTTTGATACCAGTCCACAGAACTGAACTGTCAGATCTGCGCGCTTCTCTTATATATTCAAAGTCTCTGATTTTTAAAGCTTGCTCAATGCAGTGCACTTTAAATCATTGCTGTCTTTTTGGGCCCCAAAATTGCTGCTTGCAGCTGTATATCGACTCATGTTTTGAGGTGTGCACTTTTAGAATAAGTAAATTTAAAGCAGATTCAGCACATGGTTTCTAAAGTACTGTCAGTCCGCTTGTCTACAGCAGGTTATAATGTGTTGTGTTTGACTCTTCAGAATCTCGGCCCTGTTTTACGGGACTGATCGCAGTTGGAGTGATAATGTTAACAGCATTCTGTGTGGCTGGGTAAGACCTCTTATCTATTCTACTATATATATATATATATGAAGAGTTCAAATGCAAAAGCCTCTAAGTGCCATTTGAAATTTTCTTCTAGAATGATCATTTTATCAAGCTTGTATATTTAAAGGATTAGTTCACTTTTGAAAAAACTTTTGCTGATAATTTACTCACCCCCATGTCATCCAAGATGTCCATGTCTTTCTTTCTTCAGTCGAAAAGAAATTTAGGTTTTTGATGAAAACATTCCAGGATTTTTCTCCATATAATGGACTTCAATGGGAACCGGATGGTTCAAGGTCCAAAAGATGTTAATAACAGAAGTACAGAGTCAGAGTGTTTACAAGTTGAACGCATAGGTTGAACGTGCAAACTAACTCAAACGCTGTTTACAAAAAAGGAATTAAAAGGTAAAACAACGATGTCGGACGATTTTGATTCTGTACTTCCGGCTACGTCGCCCGTGACCTTTTGAACGTAATTACGTATTACGTGACGTTGCAAACGTGCCTCACAGAATAGAGCAAGGCTAGCATTTGTCCTTAGAAAAGTTACATTTTTGGAATAAGCTTTGAAATAACCGATCGTTTCGCATGATAAGACCCTTATTCATCGTCTGGTGTCGTTTAGAGACATTTGAAGCTGCATTTGTAACTGTTATTAACACTGTCTTTTGGACCTTGAACCATCCGGTTCCCATTGAAGTCCATTATATGGAGAAAAATCCTGGAATGTTTTCATCAAAAACCTTCATTTCTTTTCGACTGAAGAAAGAAAGACATGGACATCTTGGATGACATGGGGGTGAGTAAATTATCAGCAAAAGTTTTTTCAAAAGTGAACTAATCCTTTAAGTTCAGTAATTTCACTTAAATGGCAATTGATAGGTAATCTTCATTGTCATTTAAGTGAAATTACTGAACTTAAATATATAAGCTTAATAAAAATGATCATTTTAGAAGAAAATTTCAAAAGGCACTTAGAGGCTTTTGCATTTGAACTCTTCATTTATATTTATATGGGTTGTGCCTTTAGCCACTCAAACTGTCCTCCTCATCGTGCATTAAAGGAGATATCCTTGATCACAGGCTGATTCTGAGCAAATTTGATCTAATATTTAATGCTTTTTAAAATGTTGCATAATTAAGTATCAAATGAGAATCAAAAAAAGATTGACTATATTTTGAGACAACAATCTTGTTTATGATTTTCAGTGTTGTTTAAGCACCAGTTTTTGTGTTAGGCACGATAATAAACAGTGCCTGACTTTTGCATTTGTTTACATGACATTATTAGATTCAGGTAAATATTAGATATTAAGTTGGGTGTCCACCTTAGTGATAATCACCATATTTATAGTGAAACCATCATATTTAAAAATATGATATAGTAAAATATCATTTATTGTTACTGTAAATTTATATTAAATTATTATGGGATCTACTTTTTAAAAGAATTTTGCTTCTGTATTTTTAACATATATTTTTATATTAACATAATTTAATGGCAGTATATTTATTGAAAAGGGAATTCCTTTATTTAAAATAGTTGGATATTATTAAAAATGCATGATTTTCAGCTGAAGTATCTTTCGTATCTTTCTTTGTTTACTACAAACATCTATGGGTATAGAAAAGCATATTTTCCTTTAGGTTGTACCCTATATATATATATATATATATATATATATATATATATATAAAAGCCCAGCCCGAGTCTGTTTACTTCATTATTTTTCACGGACTGTTCACGTTTTTTTTATTCCAGGTTATTTGTCATGAAGAAATACAGAGAAAACCACTACCAAAGACCCGGGAGATGAGCAGCTTCTCATACACTCAAAGACAGCTTTTTATTTGATTTATTTACATGTTTAAGCATTTGAAGAGTTATTTTGATTTAATTTATTTTACCTATGTTGATGTACGTGCTTTTCCTTTCTTTTTTTCAAAACATGGTGAGCATTTATTAGAAATTAGCATTTATTTTAAACTATTGCTCATTCTGAATGTATGTAACTCTCAAACAGTTCTCAGGGAAATCAGGTTCTTAAATGTTCTCAGGTTTTCTTACTGTATGTCACATGGAATCGATTCGGTTTAGTCTGTACATTTGTATAGGCTATGTTTAATGTATTAATGACAGAAGAAGGTGCTTGAGTTTATTGTTCATTGGCTTAACCTTTAAAAATAACCGTTCTTAAAGTGCCTACATGGATCTATACGTCTTGTTTACAAAAAAAGATATATCACTGTTCATTAGCGATCTACCTCATTTGTTCTTAATGTTCTGTATGAGAATAAGTTTGTTCAGTGAATAAAAGTGTGTGAAGTGAAGTGTATGGAAGATCTGCTTGCTGAAACGGAGAATAGTGGCTTTACTCCACAGGAAAGGGAAAAAGGAAACGGCTCGCTTTGTAAACACGGCGACGCCTAAAGACCTTTGACCTGCTGAACTCACACGAGTTCACACATCAGTCCGTCCCGTACTCGCTGACGGCATGTTAGCAGCTCCGCTCTAGGATCTGAAGTTTGTGGACACAAGCGTCTCTTTCAGGAAGTTATGAGAGGTTTGTTTTGAAAAGTTTCAGACTCCGCCTGTAATGTTGACTTCTGCTCGCATGTTTCTGATCCCCTTCTCCACACAGGAGACATGAAGCCTCGACTACACACGTTCACCCGGACCGTCCTGCTTCTGCAAGTCTGCTGTGAGTTATTATCTGTGATGTCTTTGTGTTTATATAGACTTTATATGGGCTCGTGTCGCGGGAACACTTGAATTTGATTGGCCAATTACAGCATGCTTGATGTTACTTTTATTTCAATTTTCAAATAAATGCTGTTCTTTAGAGCTTCAGCCTCAAAAATCATTATTTTTTTACAAAATATTGAGCAGTACAGCTTTATTTAAATTTGAAGGTTCTAAAGGTTCTGTCAGCGCTACGTATTTGGAACCCCTAAAAGGTTCTAAACAGAATCCTTCTTAAGAGTTCAATTATAAGAACCATTTAGGGTTCTTTGTAACCAGGAAAAATGTTCTATATGGAACCTTTTGGGGTTCATTCATTATCATTTGTTTTGTCCTTTCTGGATTAAATATTTCATATTATTGATAAACATCAAGACCCTAAAATGTATTTATGAATGCATATATTTATATCATTTTATAGTTAATCAATATCACACGAAGAGTGCCGTTTCAGTTTTTCTCCTCCAAAAATCAACAGGATTAAAATGTGATATTAAGTTACTACAACAGTTTAATAAACAATAATTTAATTACAACTACAACATGTTGCAGGATAATGTAATATATAAATGAATATTAGCATATAAAGTTGAGTAAAGAACCCTATGCTTCATATATAGAACCCTTTTTTCTAAGAGTGAATAATAATAATGATTATAATGTTTCTTGATCAGCAAATAACTATATTATGGGGGGCATAATGACTCCAATATTCAGATTGATAATTTTTCCTTTTTAACGTTTACATTTCTTGGCATAAACAAACACCATAAATACATTTAGATTAATTAACTATATTATTATTTAATAAAAAAGTAACGTTTATTGAATGTTGGTGTATTTTTAAGTGTATATTTTTTTATTTCTGTTTCAAATAAATATTTTCTAACTTTCTATTTATCAAGAAAATCCAGAAAAATGCATCACGTTTTCCACAAAAAAAAACAAAACAAAACTAAGCGGCACAGCTTTATTCAAAATTGGTAACAATGAGAAATGATTATTTTTTATATTATGGGAGACGTAACGCCTCCAATATTTAAATCATTATTGTTTTTGTTTTTAAATAAGTAATTAACATTTTCCCCTTTCTTTAACATTTACAATTCAGTAAACAGTCTACAGTTATTATTGGACCATGTTATTTCAATACGGTGGTGTCTTACGTGTAATTTTTTATTTCAAATAAATGCTGTTCTTTTGAACTTTCAATTAAACCCTGTTCAAATCAAATAAAAAGCTGTATTTGAGTGTATGAGTGGCTGCTCATGATAATTATTATTATTATTATGATTTGTTTAAATTAAATTGAATTTGTCAAAACCTGGACTTTCAAACATCAAAATGTAATTTATTAATATGTAATTGTGTACAAAATTATATACACATCGTTTCCTATTGTAAAATAGGCGTCGTTTCTAACTTCTATTTCTGGCATGCACGCGTGTCACGGTGGTAAAGCTCTAACCTGTTAACATGGGAGCCGAAATAAAAACGGACACGCCGCGCTGATGAGACGCTTACGCGTGAATGTGTGAATTACCATGTTAAATGCTTTGGCATCAAGCTCATGTAATCATAATTGCGAGATAATGATGTTTTATAATATATGGGTAACACTTTATAATAACTGCACGCTATTAATCATTAGTTAAGCATGAGTAAACAGGTAATACATCATTTATAAAACATTAATAGACATTAATATGCAGTTTATAAATACAGCTATACATGTTTTTTTCTTGATTTATAAGCATATCTATAATGCGTTTAATGATTGTATTTTCATACTTTGTTAATGATCAATTAATAATTTCTAAATGAAGTATAACATTATTTGCACACCAGTTGTTTAAGAGTTGTCATTCATTCATAAGACCACTTAGAACGTGTAAGTAAATGTAGTAAATACAGGTAGTTATAAAGCATTTATTAGTGGTCAGTTAACTATTTTTGTGAGCTAATCTAAAGTGAGGACTAGTCATGCTTTGTAAAGCATTTATAAAGACGATTTAAAGACTCGTCAATCTTCTAAACAGTAAAATGTAACAAACACAACGCAGTGATACAGAACACAGAAATATTTAACAGCCTTTAAAAATGCTTTACAAGGCATGACTAGTCCTCACTTTAGATGATCTCACGAACATAGTTAATTGACCACTACTAACTGCTTTATAACTACCCAAATTAATCCTTAATTACAGCATTAATACATGTTAATAAAGCATTAATTAACACATTAAGTAACCATCACTATATGTCTGAATAATAAGATGTATGAATGTACATTTAAATAGTTTATTAATCATTTACTTACTCGCTCTAAGTAATCGTATGAACCACGGACAACTCTTAAATAACTGGTTTATAAAAAATGCAATTCTTCATTTAGAAATGATAAATTGATCATTAATAAAGGATGAAAATACAATTATTAAACAAATTATAGATATGCTTTTAAATCAAGAAGAAAGCATTTATAGCTGTATTTATGAACTGCTTATTAATGTCTATTAATGCTTTATGAATGATGAATTAATGGTTTACTCATGCTTAACTAATGATTATTAGCGTGTAGTTATTATAAAGTGTTACCAATATATGCTGTAACCGCAGGGCTCTGGAGCGGCCAGTGTTTGTCCGTCCACTTCTCCAGCCAGCAGTCGGTGTATGTAGTCAAAGGCCAGGATTTGATCCTACAGGCACAAATCGAGCTTCTGGAGGGGGAACGCGTTTCTGAAGTCACATGGGAACGCAGCGCAAAGACTTCTGGGAAGAGTTCAACAGTGGCTGAGTTTCCTGGTAGAGGTCCCTCTGATGGGAGAGTGACTGTTGAGCAACAGGGATCCGCACTGAAGATCAGGGCTTATCAAGCGTCGGACGGTGGCGTTTATACGGTCACAGTAACAGACCAATCAGGACAGAGACGTTCTGCTCAGCGAAGCGTTCAGGAGTATCGTAAGATCATTCATTCATGAAACTCCTCAAATGCTGACTTAATTCCACCTGAACCACTAAACACACAGACTATTCACACTTATATAAATATACACACATACAGTGCTGCTTAAAGGAGTAGTTCCCTTTTGAAAAAACTTTTGCTGATAATTTACTCACCCCCATGTCATCCAAGATGTCCACGTCTTTCTTTCTTCAGTCGAAAAGAAATTAAGGTTTTTGATGAAAACATTCCAGGATTTTTCTCCATATAATGGACTTCAATGGGGTCCAAACGGTTCAAGGTCCAAATGAGAGTTTCAGTCATAGGCGGAGTTTGACATTCGAGCCAGGGGGGGCAAAAAAAAAAAAAAAAAAAAAACATGCTAAATAAACACATATTTATTTTTATCCCAAGAAAAAACAGTAAAACAATACACTGATATTTTATTGCCTTTATGTCATTGTAAACAGCTAGAACTTCGCATTAACAGCCACTTCGCGTCGCATCTTCGTTATAGGATCATGAAATGTGGACCACTTTTGCACTGTTAAAATATTATCTTCAACCTTAAAGTTTTCTTTCCTTTTTTCAAAACACATTCTGGCAATGATAATGATTAAAAAACTAGTTAAATTTCGCATTTATACTTCATGAATCATTGAAAAAATTTTAAGACACGGGATTAGGCTACCTATTGGTTTTGATGAGGGGAAAAAAAAAACTTTACGAGTGCGGATTAGAACCTCGAACCTCCCGAGTCCTGGATCTGGACCATCACTATACACGAAAAAGGGAGTATATATTTTATATACTCACTATACACATGAAAAAAGTGCTATACTCTGACATTGTGCTCATTTTTATTTATGCAATAAAGGGCGTATACTTTATACTCACTATACTCGGACATTGTGCTCATTTTTATTTATGTACATCAGGAGCTACAGAACATCGTCTTTCAAAACATGACCTACTCGAAAGAGAGAAAAAGAATGAATGCGTACCCAGCACTTGTGAAAATGCCCTTTCGAGTACGTCTCTGTCCCCAGCACATTTCAAATTGACGCCCATTTATCGCAGAAAAGCTTCTCTCAGAGTTAGATGACACAATCGACCGAGTGAGCGATAACTTAAAGAGATTGGGGTTGGTAGTTTTTTTACAGCCTTTTTAAGAAAATGCGATTACCCGTTTCAGCCACCGGGGGGGCAACGCTCCCCCTGCCCCCCCGCAAACTCCGCGCCTGGTTTCAGTACAAACTGCAAACTGTTCAAAGGGCTTTAAACGATTCCAGACGATGAATAAGGGTCTTATCAAGCGAAACGATCGCTCATTTAATAATTAAATAACAAAGTTTAAGTTTTATAAGCTCAAATGCTCGCCTTGCTCTGTTCTGTGATGTGCGTTTGTGACTCTCCTGTTCTTTTTTCAAGTCATTTGATTCATTCAACGAACGAAACGAACAAAATGACTCGTAAAAAGATCTGACCGATCTGGCAATCTTACATAGCGTGGTTATAGCATATAAAGTGAATCTAGAAGTGCCTTTCACCATGTCACGACTTAATGAAACGATTTTCGAAACATTATTTTAAGGTAATAAATCTTACTTGGTGTTTATTTAAGAATCAAGGGTTCATAAACTTTTCAACTGGGTATTTTATTGTTTTTTTAAGTTTGTCTTGTGTAAACATCTTTTACATTAAAGGGATACTCCACTTTTTTTTTTTTTTTTTTTGAAATAGGCTCATTTTACAACTCCAAGTTTTACCGTTTTCGAATCCATTCAGCCGATTTTCTGTTATTTCGAAGAATATCAGTAAGCAGACAGTTTCTGGTCTCATTGACTTCCACAGTATATATTTTTTCCTACCATGGAAGTCAATGAGACCAGAAACTGTCTGGTTTCTGATATTCTTCTAATTATCAAAAAAAAAATCGGCTGAATGGATTAGAAAACGGTAAAACTCAACTTAACTGAAAAATGAGCCTATTTCCAAAAAAAAAAAAAAAAAGTGAAGTATCCCTTTAGATATTTTTTTTTCAAGACGGTACTAAATAAAAAATAACATGCATTTTACTTAATCCCTCTTATTTTGTTAAACTTGCCATTTTCACAGATTCTGCAAGGGGTTTCACAAACTTTTAAGCAGCACTTTATATCACAAATTGTGACATTTTATAAAGCGTTATCTACAAATGGACTTTCTTCATTACGTCCTTGTACTTTTCTCGGTTTGATGTTGTGTGTGTGTGTGTGTGTGTTTCAGTGCCGGTGTATCACGTGTCGGTGATGGTGAATGTGTCTCACGCCGTTCTTCACTGTATGGAGGCCTGGGGAACGGATCCCTCCTTCACGTGGCTGTATGAGCGAGTGCTGGTGACGGGGGCAGTGGGCCGTGTTTCGGCAGATGGAGCGTCTCTGTTCGTCTCGGGGACCTTCTGCGGACACTTCACCTGCGTGGTGAGCAACAAACTGGGACACAGTTCGGCCACATACGCCGCAGGTACGCCGCTCAGCATCAGGGTCACTAATGATAGGAAGATGCTGTTTCGAGCATGTTTATTCAGACACCAGAAATCATTTTTGAAATATTTTAAAGGGATACTCCACCGTTTTTTTTCATATTAAACTATGTTATTCCCTTAACTAAGACGAGTTGATGCATACCTCTGTTTCAGAGCCGTGTGAAAGCACCGACAGTAGCACGAGCGCTGTGGTTGTGTTTCTGCTGCTTTTCCTGGCGCTCGGAGCCGCATCTCTGGCCTTTCTGCTGTGGAGGTGCGTTTAAACAATTCATTGTGTTGTTTTAGCAACTATTTAAGTTTTTATTAAACCTCACGGTCACAGTAACACACTTACAATGATATTTGTGAGGCTTAAAAGCAGAAAAATGAAGCTTGAGTTTGATGAAGCTTTGAATGTCGTTGTTAGGGGTAAAACACTATTGTGAGAATCTAGGATCAGCGTTCTCCACTAAAAGTGATCGGACGGTAGGGTATCGAGAATCGAGTATCGATTGGAACCGAGACTAACTTTTCGTTTTTCCCGGAATCGTTCAAAAGTTAAAATTTCGATTCCTAGTTTCGATATTCACAGTCCGCCGAGCGGAAGAAGAAACCGCTGAACAACACCAACGAAGAAGCGTCTACCGGAAGTGTTGGCATAACCGCGCGAGTCGAACATGAGTAGCTTACGTCAGCGGTCCAAAGTGTGGCTTCACTTTTCTAAAAATAACTAAATCTCGGCAAAATGCAAAATTTGTGACAAAAGGAGTATTTTTACAGAAGGAGTATTTCCTTCAGAAAGGATTATTTCCTTCAGAAAGGCCGTTGGTTAGCAAAGTTAGCTAAACTTTTTTGACCCTGCCTCTTAAAAGAATCGGAATCGAGAATCGTTAGGAACCGGAATCGAAACAAGGAATCGGAATCAGAATCGTTCAAATTCAAACGATACCCAACCCTAACGGACAGACCAAACCGACTCAAAACATTGAGGGCTTGTAGTACACACACACACACACCGTCTACAACTTTACCAAGTCTCACCCCAATCAAAACTGTTTTCGGTTCCCTATTTTGTCTCATGTGGTGAATATCAGATATTTCAGATGTGATTGGTCACTTTTCTCAATCAGACAATCTTAAACTGTCAGTTTTAACCACAATAATCTGCATTTTGGACTATCAAAAGTGGTCTAGACGACTTTAACCTTGATCTTTCATTACAGATGACGAGTGGGTGAGTTCTTCTGGACAGTAATCAGTAGAAACTACATCAGCTTGACATTTGCATACTAGACCAGTAGAGAACGATTCTCTGGCATCTGATTGTCAGTAATTATTGAAAAAATTTAAATTCGCGACTGGACGTTAAAATGTTTGAAGTGGGCATGGCCACTTTCACTGAGACTGCTATCTTTCATTTCACCGAACTCGGTACATCTATGAGGTCGGATGTGGCGACTGGCCACTTAGTGGCGCTATAAAATAAAAAAAACATGAAAACGGCTATTAGGCCTGTTGGAACGAATTCCGAAATTCGAATATAATTTGAATATTATAAAAATCAATACTAATCGAATGTTGACGTTACTGTTCGAATATTTCTTTTTTATGCCTTGGCTTACACGCATGTGAAAATGCCTTTGTTTTGTCTGGTGAACAATAAAGTTTTTGAATTGTAACACAACACACAAGTGTGCACGTTATCCAAGGTGTATCATCATAACAACTGTCAAAAATGGTAGCCTAAATGTTTATCGATGTAAAAAAAAGCACATGTGAAGCGAAAAACGCAAATATCTCAACGGATTCGGTGCGCATCGAGCTTGTTGGAACCGTCTAGTAGTCGAACTGAAAAGAACGATATTTTTCAGAATATTTTGGTGGTGTTTTCATGGAGATATCAGCCGAAAACCATCGGAAGCGCTTCAACCACATTCAGCACGAATAAAATGTGTATTAGATGTCCCTCTAGTGGACCGAACGTGTAACAACAACCACATGCATGATCCATAAGCATGTGTAATGTCGTAAATATGAATAATATGATAAATTTTAGCATTTAATATTTGAATATTATTCGAATATTAAATAAAATAAGGAATGGAATTCGAATAGTATTATAGAGGAAGATTGACAGCCCTAACGGCTATAGCTGCGCAACAGAAAACTGGCATGTCCAAGGTGCTGTCTACGAGAACATTAGAGTATCTCGAAAAATATGGCCGCCTGTCGGCGAATAAAGTTTGAGCAGCTGTCAGACAAGGTTACGGAACGAAACTCGCTAGGCCTGTTTGATGAAATTCGAAAGAAATCGTCCACCGGGGGCGCCTTCGCGTTTTTCACGTGCATATATTACAAAATTTTATGTATATTCGCACACGCCCACAACATTCATGACCACATGGTAGAACTCCTCATTTGGAGCAACTTTGCCTCTAGGATCGCCGCCGTCAAACGAATCGTTTGTTAAATATTGGATATTATTTCACGAACTAGTCGTAGGTTTCTAACTCTACCCCGATAACTGTATTTCCTTGGCTGCAAATGGTCTTTTCCATCTATGATCGAGGGGGTTACATGCTTGCTTAATAAAACAATACATTAACACATGTTTGAGACCTTAAAGTGCTTGAACCCTGTGATCAATCAGAGTTTCTTGACTTTTCTAGTCCGTTTTCTCAGAGATGTCTTGTTTTCTCCACCGCAGGAGACACCGGCACGGACACAACAGAAGAGAGAGACTGAGAGAGCCGTACGACGTGGATCTGTGAGACTCGTACAAACACTGACCAAAGCTGATGGACTGACTGTCACTTGAAGCTTTCACAATACCTTTTTATACTCTATTGGTCCATGCTTTGCAGACGCTTTTGTATAAATTTAGGGTGCTTTCACATCTGTAGTTCGGTTCATTTGGTCCGGACCGGGGCCGAAGAATGATACTTTATAGCATTTTCAGGGGTTTTGGATCATTTCACGCCACACTGAATGCCCTGGTCCGAATCAGTTGATGAAACATCAAGCGTTCACGTAAAAACTACATTCAGATTCACCAGTCGGAATGAATTCAGTTAGATTGAAACAAAAGCTGTGCTTGTAAACAATGAATGGCGACTGCAGAAAGCAAAAGCTGAATCCCGGACATCGACGGCCGGACATGTCCGGGAAAAAGAGGACGGTAACCCTTACTACTCAGAACAACAGCCTACTAGCTTAGGTTCCAAAACAAGATGGCCGACACTATGAGTTCATTCTGTGAGTAGGATCGCCCTCTATGGGCGGGTTGAGGACATGCGGGACAGACCCGAATACTGACTGTAGTCTTTAGCCTCTGGAAAACAATCCTCAGATGATGCAAAATGACGATTTTTGCGCCATCTGAGGATTTTTTCCAGACAAAAAAATACATAAATCTCTGGTCTCAGGGGGATATGAGGGTGGAAAACCCTCCATCACTAGGAGGTTTCGTTAATACGCTCTTTTCTGAAATGCTTATATTCTGAAATGCGTATATAATTCAAATCAAAATTGATTTTTATACACTTTATATTATTCTAAACATCCACACTTTTTATAGTAAAAGTTTTAAAGTATAAAACCTTAATATGAAATATTGTATAATATGATAAATGTGATAAGAAGACAATGATGAAAGATATTCTGGTAAAAATAAAATAAATAAATAATAAACATTTCGGGTATTTTTTTGTTTATAATTGTTTTTATATACATACATGTTATATATACATTATTTAATTGGTAAGTAGCCATGTAAAAACACTGTTTTCATTACCAGTTTTGTCTCATGTGCTGGATATCAGATATTTCAGATTTTGCATTTTGGACTATAATTTACAAGTCAAAAGTGGTCTAGACGACTTTAACCTTGATATTTCATTACAGATGACGAGTGGGTGAGTTCTTCTGGACAGTAATCAGTAGAAACTACATCAGCTTGACATTTGCATAATAAGCTCTTCTGGATTCCATAATTATGAAGTCGAAATTCCAAAAGTTTACCAATGGGAAAGACGTGTAAAGAATGGAGATTTAAGCATCGTATTCTCTCATTCCTGCATTTAAAGGGATAGTTCACCCAAAAATGATTTACTCACCCTCAAACCATCATAGGCAGGCGTATATGACTTTCTTCTTTTAGCCGAACACAATCAAATTTAGATAAAAAAAAAATATCCTTGCTCTTCCAAGGTTTATAGAGAAAAAAACGGCATTTATCCATCTTTAAATTAATCCATAGGACTCCAGGTATTGTTCTTGATAAGTAAAACTATTTTAAAAAATCACTTTCGGTAATTGAAATAAAATAAAATATATATATAATAGGTGAAAAACACATACATATACATATACGCGTGTGTGTGTGTATGTTTTTTTCACTTATATATATATACACACACATATATATTAAATATCATTTAAATCGAATCATTTAAATAGTGTGTGTGTGTGTGTGTGTGTGTATATATATATATATATATATATATATACACACACACACACACACTCTCTCTAAATGATTCGGAAAAAAACATACTTATTATTTTCTCAAATAAATTGGATTTCACAATGCAATGCACTTGACCCGACCTATTTGTATTTGAATGCATCATTATAGATTCATTATTCTATGTGATGGCCAGATGATAAAATGTGGCGAAACTGAATAGAATATGAAAAATAAGTTAAACACTCACGGAATTAAACATGCACAAAGTGAGAACATGTGATTTTGCATGCTACTTTAAAAATAAATAAATAAATAAAACATTTGTTGTATAATCTGCGATGTTTTACACACAGAAAATGTAGAAGAGTTAAGACGTTTTACACTCAAATTAGTTTAAAAAAAAAATGCACAACAGCCATTTTTAAGTTTAAGCTGAGTGGTCCAAATGCTTAAGTGTTTAATTTGGTCCATTCTGTTGATGTAGACGAGCTCTACTATAGTCTGTCGATTCAGGATTATAACACAAAATCAAGGTGGTGATTTAATTAAGAAATGGACGAAGCCAATGTGTTTTAAAAGCAAAGCTTTTTATTGCAAGTATTAGTGAAAGATACACTCCAAACTGAAGCAAAGCAACACTAAAAGGCCATTGATCTACAAAGAGAGTATTATTAAAACAAAGAAAGACATTTCAAAGTAAAAGAAAGATCCCTTGGTACATTAGAGAGACTCTTTGCAAACACGGAGAGAGGAGAGACGGGAGGACGGAGACGCCGAGATCCCGGAGACGCACACGCCACGTCCCGACTCGCACGGAGAGGAACGGCAGAACTTTGGCTCTTTCGTAAGCAATGGAAATCGCCGACCTCCGGTACCAAGAGACACGGGACGTGAGACGACAGACGGAGGATGGACAGACTCGTTTGCATCGGATGGTTCACAGTCTTTGTTTGGAATGCTGGAGCTTTGCGTTGCAGTAAACCGTTTTGTAAACATTTTTTTTTTTTTAGGAAATCGACACGTGCCATTCATCTCGGCGTCTCCGTCCTCCTGGAAAATGACAACATGTCGGTCTCGAAGCGATGCTTGCAACGAGATCACGTTTTCGTCAGGCGCAGTTAGTGGTTTAAAAGAGGACCGAGATGCCACACAGGGAGTTGGTACGCTTCTCTACGCACAACGAAGGTGTTCGACAGATGCCGAATGGGAAAAACAAAAGAGTACAGTTAAGGCTGAGGCTCATATATATATATCTGAGTGGAATGGGACCCCCTCTCTGGCACGAAGACAATTGAACTCAAGCAAACGATGAAGGACAAAATAAATTGGACTCCACTTAAAGCACCGGACGCATCAAACATCCTTCCAGGGAAACGTGTATGGCTAAGAGTTTAGCAGCTCTGGATGAAAACAATCAGCTTTTTATCTTTTTGGAATAACAAAGTCAGTGTGGTTCTCCGTCCCATTAAGAGATGAGATGCGGCGAGCCTCTTCGAATGAGGTGGACCGTCTAGTCAAAGGGCAAGGAGGAAGTGATGTCATCCAACACTTCGGGCTTGTGCCGGCCCCGCCCACTCTGTGGTTGTGCTTGTGAGAGGATGTCCGACCAACGATGCGGAGACTCCAGCCGCGAAAGCACTCCCTCAATAAATACACCGTTAAATATTTCCCATATATATTTCCAATATATTAAAAGAAAAACAAAACACATTTAAATAGGACAACAGAATAAAAGTTGGCTCAATAAAAAGATTTTAAAAACAACTCGTTTTCTGACAATTCTTGCTCTAAAACTGTTACGGATATTGTCGTCAGGCATTAGTCAAGCGATATACCGTGTTCAAAGTAACATCTGGCTGAATCTCCACCCCAAAAACTAAAGATAGAGTTTGCACAGGGAAAATGAAGCCTATTTTAAGACAATTAAGCGCACTTTCCCCAAAGTTTCGAGCCGTTTTGTAATCATTCTCAGTGGCGATGGAATGACAAATCCGCATAAATGAAAGGCAATACAGCCATGATGCATGAACGTCTGTATTTAAATTTGCGCATAATGAGGATTTAGAGCGAGGGAATGCATTTAATTGTCATAAAAATAATCACAATGCCACAAATAGGCTTCATTTTCTTTATGCAAAGACATAAATGAAGAGCCTTGAAATTTTCTTCTAGAATGATCATTTTTATCAAGCTCGTATATTTAAGTTCAGTAATTTCACTTAAATTGCAATGAAGATTACCTATTAATTGTCATTTAAGTGAAATTACTGAACTTGAATATACAAGCTTGATAAAAATCATCATTCTAGAAGAAAATTTCAAATGGCACTCTTCAAATGCTTAACACTTTGCATGACAAAAATGATGCATATTATTGCAACCGGTTTATTTTCATAACAATCAAGCACGTTTTGTAATTCCCATCAATCTCAATAGTGATTGAATGATACTTGAAAGCTAATGTAAAGGAAAGCTAATATTAGTGCGTGTACAAACGCATCACAATTTATCCAGAATTCGGGGAGGGGAAACGCAAAAATAAGCTTCATTTTTGTCATGCAAAATACAGTTTCTTAGTTTGGCCATGAAATGTGAGCAGGACACGTTCACTATAACATTTGCAGCATACCAAGGTAAGTGAGGTGCAGTGTTTTGAGATCTACAATATCCTCCGTGTGACAAAATACAGGCCATGGGGGTCCAAAACATATACTGGATGTATGGTTTATATGGGCCATTGCACATTGAGAGGGATCGACATTTTAAACGTCACCGGAGCCTTGTGTAAACCTCAATTAATCTCGCTCGAGTTTCCCTCAGCAAAGATTTCAAGAGCTTTTGCTGGAGTACATGAAAAAAGGGGCTTATGGGGGGGAAAGGAAAAGGACAGCAAAGCCCCGTGACTTTGTTTCCTTGTTTAGGTGGCAGTCTTTAAAGTGCTGTGCTAGGCTTTCCTGTCCAGGGTCAGGCCGTGTCATACGAGTGTCCGCTCTGTCCCCCATCTACTGTAAAGATAGCACATTCACCTAGAATTGGTCCGGACTCCTAATACAGTATGATACAGAACTCAACCGTTCGCTCGTATACTTGGCATATATCGTCGTCAATATAACATCTGAATATACAAAGAGCCTAAAAATGTGTGTGTTTGCAATGTGTGCAACACCTTCTCCAAGGTAAGGATAAGACTAATATGCTCTTTGATTTCTCACTTTAGTCTCGGATTATTCAGCACCATCATGAGGAAAGGCACTTTCTATGAACTCTGAACTTACGTTTTAGACCCTAAAAGAAGACCCTCCCAAAAAAGCTTGACATTAAAAGACGAGACGAGAGGAGAGGAGAAAAGGGGTTGTTTGATTTCGCTTCTAGGTTTATGAATAACGGACGCAACAAACTCGAACCCGACGCATTCGCTACCTCAGTTACTCCCTCCACTTCCACTGTACAATCTTCGGTTGTCGCTTTAAAGAATCGTTCAGCTAAAACGTATTTTTTCTCACCCTCATGTCGTTCAAGAATTCAGCCGTCTTAAAGGGATACTCCACTTTTTTTTTTGGAAATGGGCTCATTTTACAACTCCCACCAGAGTTACCGTTTTCCAATCCATTCAGCCGATTTTCTAATATTTAGAAGAATATCAGTGACCAGACAGTTTCCCATTGACTTCCATAGTAGGAAAAAATATACTACGGAAGTCAATGGGACCAGAAATTATTCTTCTAAATATCATAAAATCGGCTGAATGGATTCGAAAACGGTAAAACTCAACTGTTTAACTCGGGGGGGGGGGAGTGGTAAAATAAGCCTATTTCCAAATAAAATGGAGTATCCCTTTAAGCTGTTGCAACCAAAATGGACTGATTTTTACTAGCAAGCCCCAAAACCAATGTAAAAATAGTGCCGTTCGCTTTTGTTGCACGGAAAACAGCAGCGATAGAAGTCATGTGACGTGTGGGCGAGTCACTTCTAACCGAACTATCCCTTTAAAGAGACGCTTCTTGCCAAAATAAGAGGCAAGGGTTAGTAAAATATATATATTTGAAGTTAGAACTACACAAAAATAAAATTGCATGACACCTTCTTAAACGGTTCGACCTCCAAGGCTCTGAAGCACCAATAGTGGTTTCGTTCGGGAAGATGAAATAAAATGATGCGTACAGCTTCACTTAAACCACTTTTGACAGGCCTGACGGGCAGAAAACATGATGCACCTTCCTCTACAGGTCCGACCTCTAATGCACGCTTCAAAAAATGGCAGAAAACCCTCTATAACAGCCGACTGCAATGATTTATCATTCATACATTAGAATCTGAAGAGCAAACATCTGATTGCATAAATAGTTCTGGGCTGAAAGTCATAATTATGCATTAATAATTCCGTGCAATTGACCGTAATCTTAATCTGACTGGCCACAGTGCTGTACCATTCTACGCAATAAAATCAAACAAACAAACACACAGAACGACCAAAAGTCTGCAACCAGCACCATTCATGCATCCCATGTTCCCATCAAGTCCAATTTCCGATGCCGCACCTAATAGCACCATGCATTACGCATTGATTAGTGCAGATTATCACCTTTAAACAGCTGGACATGCTTCAGATGGCGCACGGAGAGACGGTAAGGCACCCAACGCTCACTGATGCACTCTTCAAGTAAAACGCTATACTGACCCCTAGTGGCCGTCCGGTGAACGAGCACACATCAGGTGCTGCGAGAGCTTCTCCTTCTCCCAGAGCTGCCAATCAGTCCCTCGTGCTTAGGCGAAACCGAAGCATGAACCCGCCGGTCCACAATAGCAGCGAAATCCTCTGAACAGGCAGGGCAGTGAAAATCAAGACGTTAACGGTGAGTCGGCTCGCATTTTAAGAGATTTTGTCAAGTCGAGCGTGGTCGCATCTATCCGTTTCTGTTCGACAGCAGGCACTTGTTAACACGCTACGGTCAATCGTCGCCTCCACTTTTAGAAAAGTGGCACACCTCCACCTTTAAAACCCAGTCTTTCTCCTCTCTACGGAGGTATTCTCATCCCGCCAATGAATTATTGCACTAAACTATGATCTGTCGCATAACTATGCGCTTTAAAATGAGACAAAGTGCAGAAGGGAAGCGAACGAGAGAACGATCGATCGAGACCAATAAACACTGGAGGGAATTTAGACGTAAAAGCATTTCAAAACATGATCACTTTACATTGAAAGCTCACAGGCCAACGGGAACATCTGCTTTAAAATCAACGGTTGCTCGGCAATGGCACTTTTCTAGCAATAAAAGCTTCTTTTTCTGTTTTAAAACGCTAACGCACAATTGGTTCTTCACGACTGACACTTTAACACGTAGTTAAGTCACCATTGGCTACAAAAATAATTGAGAGCGGGAGAAAAAGTACATTGAGAAAATTGCTAGTAGGAGCGCGTGACGCCTCTATCCCCAAAACGTTCTTTCTTCCCGACTCAAGCTTTCTTTCTAATCTCATTTCGGGGGAAGGGGGAGGACAAAAGTGCTGTTAGAAAACGTTGAGGTACAAGGCAGGAAAAGTAATTAAACGTTACGTCTACAGCGGGGATATAAACGGGCTTCCCTTTTGGTTGTCGTCGAGGGTTTGGAGGGGATATGACAGAACGGCCTCAGTCGGCTGGTTTAATATTGCATAATAGTGCCGAGGTCCGCGTGTGGAATTAAAGCAGGCCTTCCTCATCCTGCTGCACAGTGTCGGGGTGAGCCGTGCTTCCATCGCCACAGAGATCGACCCTTCGGGACGCACAGGCTTTTGGGAGGTGTGACTGAGAGAGTGTGTGTGTGGTTGTCGGGTTCGTGTGCATGACTAGTCAAACGTGGGCTTGGTGTGAGCTGGCTTAGGCAAAGTACATGGTCCTCAGGGTGTCGTGGTGAATCTGCACAGCTTTGGCCAGCGCCTGGGGATCCCGACCGTTGCTCTGCCCGGAGACGTGGCTGCCCTCGGCACTGGAAGATCGCAGAACACAAAACATAATATAAGAAAAGGGAAAAAAGCCATAAAATCAGTTATTTTGTTTGCTAAAAATTAAACAAATACTGAAAATGCACAATACAATACATAATTTTTCTGCTATATGTCAAGTATGTCAAGCCCATAAGATCGGGCTTTGTATGAGTGCTACAGTTTTAAGTGAAAGAAAAACATTTCTGTACGGATGCTCTTCCCATTGCTGTTCACATTAAAAAAATGTAAAAAAAAAAAAAAAAAAAAAAATCTGGGGGAGTTGTAAAATGAGCCTATTTCCAAAAAAAGTGGAGTATCCCTTTAAGGCCTTTATTTGTGTAATGGCGTGTAAAGACTTTAAGACCTGCAAAAACAGTTGCAATTTAGGGTGAAAACAAAAGTAAAAATTAATCAAAAATGGCTTTTTAATTTTACTAGACAAAAATGCAACAAAAAAAGGCCACAAACTCTAATAATGAAAAACAGACACTAAATGTGAGATAAAAGTCACTGCTTTACTGAAAGACAGCAAATGTTTCTCAATGCCCGACTACATCGCTTATCGTAGGAGCCATCTTAATGTATGAAATCACATTATTACATCCATCACACACTAAAGTGCTACATTTAATGCTACATTTGATTTAATCACATGGCAACAATTAATTTTACTCAGAGAAAATCTCTCGCGGCTCTTTACTGAATATATTTAATTCATACAGAGAAGACTAAGCATTTTATTTTACACTTTATCATTTGGTTTTGTTGTATTTCTTACTTGGATAGCACAAAAATAAACAAGCTTTCTGCATTGTTGTTGCCAACTGAACATTTTCTGTCCGATTATCCTATTATATATTAGGGCTGTGCAAAAATGAATTGCGATTAATCGCATCCAAAATAAAAGTCTGTGTTTACATAATATATTTGTGTGTGCTGTATATAATTATTTTGTATATATAAATACACACACATGCATGTATATATTTAAGAACTATTTGCGCTTAAATTCTGTATATATATATAAATACATAATATATATTATATAAATATAAATATTTTATATATGAATAACACATTTTCTTAAATATATACATGCATGTGTTTGTATTTATATATACAAAATAATTATCTACAGCACACACAAATATATTATTTAAACACAGACTTTTATTTTGGATGCGATTAATCGCAATTAATTTTTGCACAGCCCTAATATATATATAAAAACATCACAAATGTTTGGAAATTACAGCCATAAAATCAGCCATTTTGATTGCTAAAAATTAAACAAACACTGAAAATGCACAATACAATACATCATTTTTCTGCTATATCACCAGTAATAGTGCAATGCTGAAGCAACGGCACACACACACCTGTCGTGTTCTTTGTCCACCAAGTGGTAGCGGGCACGGAAGGCCACCAGGTGGGCGTAGTAGGCTGGCGCGGGGATGGAGACGGAGCGGGTACAGCGCACGTACGTGTGGCACAACTGGTAAGTGAGCAGCTGGAACTCATCCGCAGTGAAGCAGTTGTCGTCCCACAGGACATGGTAGTGGGAGGGTCGGCTTGTGCCCTGAGACGAGAGGAAGAAGACTCAAACCCGTGCCGAATGCCTTCAAAAACATCTTAAACGATACTGTAGTTTGAAGATGTCTTTAAAACATCCTAGTGCAACAGCCCTGACAATTTAGAGTGACTTCTGTGTGACATTCAGCCTTTTTATATTCAGACTGAATGTGTGTTCTAGATTACATAACAGTTCTATGACCTGATAAATCCAAATCTGTGGGAAATGGAAGGTAATATACAAATTTTCAAATGAAAGCTGGGTGAATATATGTAGAGTACAATGGAGCACTACTAGTTCGAACAATAGGCGTGTGAGCCTATTCAAGAGAGACACCGGGGTAGTGGCGACTCTGCGGTTTCTCGGGAGCCAATCATTTCCCCATTTTCTGGGACTGCCCAATGTTAAGCCCTTATTGGTCACGAATGTGTGAACATATTAATCATATATTTGGTAGTAAAATACCTTGCAATTTTGAAAATGTGTATTTGGGCAATGCTGATGTTAATAACTGGAGAAATAAGGACAAGAGATTGCTTTGGATATTAATGGTTAAAACTGGAAAAGAGTTAAAAGAGTGGGTCAACATAATCCATGAAATCTACAGTATGGAAAAGCTTTTATTTACACTCAGGATTCAAAGAGACATGTTTTACAAAATCTGGACAAAGTGGTCTGAGTAGGTCAAGCCCATAAGATCGGACTTCGTATGAGTGCTACAGTTTTAAGTGAAACAAAAACATTTCTGTACGGATGCTCTTCCCATTGCTGTTCACATTAAAAAATAAATAAATAAATAAATAAATAAATAAAAATCTGCATGCAAAATCATTAGTCAAGTAGACAAGGAGCCATTTAATTGCAGAAGTGCAGCTTCTCAATGAGAATGTGTTTGTCTGTACCTGTATTCCAGCATGACTGCAGAGGTAAAAGTCAAACTCGTAGGGGTGTGTGATATCCGTGTCTACTGTCGTACCAGCAGGAATGTTTCCGCTGCGACCCACCTGTGCGGGAAATTTATAAAACACAATCAAAATGTGCAGCCTTCAAGATTTGTCTCATAATCGCCCCTGAAGACAATTCAGCAGATGATTAATAAACTCTGCTTCCGACAATTAATCTGACACGGGTTTTGTGTTGACTTGAATATAGCTGTTAACTCATATTTGACAGATAAATCAACTTACCGATAAAAGCATTGTTTTAATAGTGTGTCAAAATAAAACTTTTTTTTTTTAGATGCTCTGTTCTTGGTCTACTTGTGTTAAAGAAAGTGTCCTTCTTATTGTTATTGTTGACTAAAACTAAAATCTGTTAATTAAAATAAAGCTGAAAAAATACTCCATAAAAAAACTGTTATTTTATTTCACTTAGTTGCCAATGCTACATTTCAATTTTAAGTTAAAGTATTATTATTTTAAGTTTAAGTACTAAAATTACTAACTAAAAAAAAACTAAAACAAAAATGAACTTTTAGCTAAAATAAATAAATAAATAATGGTTATTATATTTTACAAATCTAAAACATAAAAACATTTCCGTTACTTAAAAAATATTAAAATACTTAAACTTGTTTTATTTTAGCTAGTTGATAAGCCAATATTTCTCAATTTTATTTTATAGTTTAAATTCTACTTAAATAACTAAAACTAAAATTTTACAAAAACTATATAGACATGATGCATGACAAAAAAAACACAACAAAATTAGTAAAATAGACTGAAATTAAAATTAAAAAATATATATATATAAAAAACTTTAATAATCTAAAAAAAGCACATAAAAAACAAAAATGAAAACAAAATAAAAGTTAATCAAACTATTAATAAATAGTATAATAACACACATAGTATATACACAATAACAATTTACACATTATTATTTTTTTATTTTAATGTGTCTCTTATCTCTAATTATAACAAATTAAGACTGAAATACAGGCTATTACTGTTGTGTATATATATATATATATATATATATATCTCAGAGTTTCCGCTACAAACCCCCCCCCCCCCCCCCCCCCCCCCCCCAAAAAAAAAAAAACAGTGGTTTCGTTTTACGGACATTTTGATGATATGCCGGTCAAATATCGCCTCTTAATTAGTCAAGTTGAGGAAAACTGGAGGCAGGCTATGCAACTTAAAACATGACATAATCAGGCCGTATAGAATGCAACATGTTATCATTAGCCTAACTTTCAAATAGACGGAAAAAAACATGAACGTCTGATTGGCGTCAATCAATACCAATTGTTTTTTCCTATGATTTTACTTTATGAAACATTGAGGCACGGATGTACCCAATACAAATAAATAAAACACCTCCAGTTAACTAGCAGATCATTCATTTAGTTTGCTATTAAATAAGAGATCTAGCGCTAAAATATGTTTAGAAAGTTTAAAATGTATTTATAGATAATACTGGTAATTTATAGATAACACTGGTAAATATAAGTCCTGTGAGTTGGCCATTGTCGCCGTCCCAGGACGCATTTCACCATGTGCGTACAGTGCAAGAACAACCCGCTGTTTAAAGAAGTGGACAGCGAGGGATTGTCTCACCCTCTCGTTGCGATCGGCACAGAAGAGGCGTGTGTGGTGCCGCTTCTGCACCACTATGTACGTGATGCCGGGCTGGTACTCCTTCTCCAGGCTGATGCAGGCCTCTCGAATGGCCAGCAGCTCGTAGTACAACACCTGTGAGCATAAAGAAACATTTCCAAACGAACATGAAACTACTGATAGGCCATTATGTCAGCAAGACAAATGAATCCACACCTGTCTAAACTGGCCCTCAGACACACCGTCCCTGTAGAAGATGATTCTGGTGGGTTTGTAGCGAGTGGACTTGTAGAACTGAATAAGTAGCTCTCGCACCATAGAGGCCAAATCCTGAATCACCTCCTGTCTGGGTCTCTGGACACGCACTGTGGCACAATACCTGCTGGGATGAGCGTCCATACTGCCCACAACCTACAGCAAAGCACATTTTATATGATGATGTGTCTTCATTCTGTAGTATATTTAATATATTTGTTCCATCTCTAAGCTATACTGACTGCGGCAATGGATGGTTTCTTCCCGTCTCCTGCTGGTGGATGTGTGACATCCGCCCCGAGAAAGATGACTGGCTGCTGGAACACTGAAGGCCTGAAAAACAGCATGCATACATGTAAACCAGTCCACCATATTTAACATCACCAGAAACCAGCTGTGAGCATGAATAATGCATTTGATAGTGTCAACAAATCAGCCTTTCTTGCATGCAATATAGTCAATAAATTGTGGTTTCCCGATAAGAGATTTTTGATTCGATGACAAGCAAATAGTTAATTAAATGGAAAGTAAAAGTAAACCAAAAAATAATAATTTGAATAGTATAGTAACTTCTAGTGTGTATATATTATATAAATATATATAATTTCCAACAGTAATAGCTTAAACTACTATAATACTATTTACTATTATAAAACTACTATAATAATAATAATAAGAGCTGTGATAGTAATAAATGTTTTTACTATTATTGTTGTTATATGTTAAAAAATATCTGACAAAAAATTTGCAACAAAAATAGCCTATATTTCTGTCTTCATTTCATATAATTACATATAAAACTACTATAATAATAAATGTATAATTGCTGTTGTTATATGTTATGAAATATCTAACAAAATACAGAAATCATTAAAAAAAACTTTCAAAATAATAATAAAAAAATATATATATGTATCTGTTCACTTGCATGTCATGTGACCATTAACCATTATCTTTGTTTTTTTGTTTTGGGGTTCGGCTGACAAAAAAACATTTGGGAATAATTAGCAGACTGTTTAAAAACAACCAATGAGCAGAGCCGGTTATGTTCTGTTAATCAGTCCCACCAGGATTTCACGATTTTTTTGTGTGATTTTTGCGATCAAAATGACTGATTTTGTGGTGGTAATTTCCAAAAATTTGTGAAAAAATGTGCGATTTATATATAACATTTACCATAATAGTATTCAGTCGTTCCAGAAAAACGCTGAGTTTTTTTTGTGATTGTTGCGGGCAAAAATTGATTGATTACGTGGCCCGTTTTCTTTAAAAATGCGATGGAATATGCGGGATATTTATGCAACTTTATGCAATGAAATTGCAGGAATTTGCAAAAATTGAGAGAACTTGCAAAAATTGCGGTTTGATGAAAAAGAGAAAAAAAGTGATTCCCCCAACATCCTGTTCTCACTAGGCTAAATGTAAGAGTCATTTCTTATTACTTCCTTTGATAAGCAAGCATACTACATCATAGAAAGTGCTGGGAACTCATCTTGTTTTATTTCAGACTGTAACGAGTGTAAATAAGGTGTGGCCCCTTTAAGAGCTGCGCGCTCCCTGTTGAACTCTCTGCAGTGTTATGTGTGCGGGTAATTTCTGTTTAATGCTACTTCTTTTATCTTATGTTGTTTATTAAGTAACGATGTGACGGTAGAACGTGTGACAGACAGTTATACGAGTTCGATTTGTGAGATGTCAATCGCCTCCGTGAGTCTGTCTGGCGTCACGTAATTGCGTCACTTCATAACATTCTCATGGAAACAGGGGAAAATGGCTGCTCTTGTGTGAAGCAAACGCAACATTTTTCAACTTTCTGCAAAGATACATGTGACTTTTTTTGCAACGAAAATGCGAGGATTATGAAATTATGCAACCCCCGCATATTTTGCACGGAAATCTGCAATTTATGCGGCGAAAGTGCGGCGTTTTTGAAAAAAATGCGGCCCCCGCATAAATATGCGGACTTTGGCTGATTTTGCATTGAATTCAGCGATCGCATAATCGCGTTTTTCTGGAGGGACTGGTTAATCATGGTTCAATGGTTACACACCGTTGATGCGGGACCAGGATGTTGTTGATGCCGCCGAGTTTGACGTTGATTTTGAGGCAGAGGTTGGAGAGCGTCTGAGGGGAGGTTTTCACCACGTTCTTCACCTGCACACACTGAGTGGCCATTCCTAGAAGAGTGTCTCCGACACGCTTCACTTCCGCTGCACAGATCAAGCGCGAGTCGGTTAGTCTGACGGCATTCGGCGGGACGTTCGGCTCTGCGTGCGACGCTCTTACCGTAGACGGGTGTTTTTCCCGGCAGGATGACGATGATGAGCTGCAGTCCAGAGTAGGTGTTCTTCAGGTGCCTGAACATGGGCTCCACGCTGTCGGCTCCCTGTGCGTACTTACAGAAACACGGCTGACCCTGGATGGGCATCCCAGCATCCTTTGAGATCTTACGCAGCTGGTCGGTGAAACCCCTGTGGAGACAAACACAATTCAGACACTTCGAAGTATGGGAAGTAGATACTGCACTGGTGATTAGGGCCGCACGATTAAAAGAAATAAAGCCGAAATCGTCATAGTGGCTTAGCGTGATTATCAATTATAATTCTAACACATGCGCTGCGTGTTTCAGAGTGAAGAACGGAACTGTGTTCTTGTGTACTGCGGTTTTCCGTCAAAATAAAAGTTGTAAGGTGAAATAAAATTATTATTGTTATTTTTCTTAAATACTTGATTATCTTATTTTACAGTGAATTTTAATTTTGCTTTTATTTTAGAAATGCTAATATTTTTATTTAATAACAATAATTGTATTATTATTACTACTTTTTATCTGTATTGATGTATAATCACAGAATTTTAGCAAATTACCCAGCCTCACAAAGTTTTTAAAATCACTTTTAATCAGATTTTTTTCAGCAGTTTTTAAATCAGATAAATCGCAATTAGCAATTACAACAGCAATATTACTTATTTAGATTTTATTTAAGAATTTTTAACATTTTAATTTATAGATAATTCCATTTCATTTACCTTTATTTTACCAGGAAAAAGACTCACTGAGATTAAAATCTCTTTTTCTCTTTTTCTAAAATCTGTTTTTTTATTATTAATAATAATAATAGATCATGAATATTAGAAGTATTATTATAATTATTAATAATAATAACAATAAGTATTGCAGTATTATTAAAATTATGAACAATAAAAGCCATGCTGATATATAATCAACACATATTGACCATATTGTGCAGTCCTAGCACCACACACCTGGATTTTTATTTATTTTTTATCACACTGCAATCACAATTTTTATCAGAAATATCTAAATGTATGGTGTGGGGTCTTACTTGAGAATCTCTTCTCTGCACTGTCTCTGCGTGGCGAAGCAGGCGATGGCCCACATCTTGATCTCCACCCCGGTATGAAACTGTTTCCCTCTCATGTCCCAAACTCCATGACTGGGTGTGGCCACAGTGCGATTCTGCAACGACAGCTCAAGGTTGATCTGCTGCACAAGACGTGTGTGAGCAAAAAACACAGGGCGCACATATATACCACTGATACTGTAACTGAACATGACTGGAACACATTAATAGACTGACACAATTAAGAGTGTAACTTTACAAGTACATTTCACAAAACAGGCCTGTACATAGGGAAGAACGGAGGCAATAATAACACACTAACACAATTATTCAATCATGCTAGTAAGATGACACATATTGAGCACGTTCACTAGATTTATATACATTTTCTTTGTAAATATCAACATCAATCTGATTTCTAGCCTCAGTATTACAGTTTGTATTCAAATTCATGACCTGCACACACAGATTTCTAGTAATCTGTCTACTGAATCATTAGGGGTTTTCACACTTAAACTAGTTAACCCTGGGTCATTCTAAACCCCTGGTTAACAGCATCTGGGTTAATGAGTTATCTTGCTTCACATTTCACATTGCTCATAATAATTCACCTGGTGTTAACACCTGAGTATTCATAACCTGATTTAGGTCGTTAACCCTGGATTTAAGTGGTTGTCACTGATTGGGTGAACGCAGCACGTGATATTTTTAAATAAAGGCTTTAGCGTTGCGAATCCTCGTATTATATATTGCCGACTGTACTATCAAGTTCATCCTTAAAATCGGGGTTTAGAACGATGAATGATGACCGAGTGTGAAAAGCCCCTACAATATTATAATTCTGATAAAATATATTTGTAGCTTAGAAAACGGTCACTAATTTGACAATATTCATATTAAATAAAATAATTGTGGTTCTTAATAGACCTTAAGCCTAACCTAATTTTAGTGTAATTAAAAAAATAAGTGTCTAAAGTAACCTTCAATACAATGCAAGTCGCTTTCTGCCAAATGCATAAATGTAAAAAAAGAGTTCTATAAAAGTGTTAAAAATGCCTCAAACCACTTTTACATCACCGTTACCATTGCCTCCGATCTCCTGTCATTTAAAAAAGCATGTACAAAATCAAACAAAACCATAATTCATTCTCAGACAATATAGACAGCCTAACTGAACTGACTCAAAGACAACGATAAACATTCTTTCATTAATTCAGTCATCTAAACAACAATTAAAATCACTGCAAGCTTGTTTACTTCAGCAGTTATTGCACACTTCACACATCACAGCAGCGGTTAGGAGCTGTTAGTTCCTCCAGGAGAGGCTATCCATTCATTCATTCAGACAGACAGACACAGAGAGATGTGGGTGATTGAAAAGAAGGGTACCATAAAGTGCTCTGTGCTCACCCTGCCCCCGTACTGCAGCATGGGCGCAGGCAACACGCGCCCCGTCACGTGGGCCATCTCGTCTCGCACCTTGAACTGAAACTCCTGAACAAAAGGGTCTGCTTCGTAGTTAGCGCTGCGCACCTGGAAATACACAGAGAAAGATCATTAAGGCCTAAAATCATTTCTGTAGTTAATATTTCATTTGCTCTCAAATTTTTGTTTTAAAAATGTAGTGCATTCGGTTTTAAATTAAAATATTTAATTGCGATTAATCGCATTAATGTCATAGTTAACTCTCGATTAATCTCACATTTTTATCTATTCTACAGTAAAAGTCTCTTGATTTCTTTTTGTCCCATTATTTTTCTCATTTTACTGCTCTTATCAACATGGAAAAGTGGATCGGCTTGCTTTTTTTTGTTAAAAACAACATTGGCATATATGCTGTGTTCAATTTCACACTAAAACATTCTCACTTGAAGCAAATAATCTCTCAATGTAACACTGTCCATCAATAAAAGGGTGAAAGAAATACTGACGAGGTCCTGATATTGACGAGGGGGCGGAGAACTGACCCTTCGCTAAGCCACGAAAAAATAAATAAATAAATAAATTCAGAAATACAAAAACGAATAAAAATGACAAAGGCACAATCTTACTAAAACTGAAAATATACAAATAAAAGCTAATATTGAAAATATACTATAATCTATAATAATATATAAATAACACTAAAACGTCACTGTCTATTAGTCCTAAAATAAATCTATTTTAAAATATAACTAGTATTATCATACATTTATTTATATATATATATATATATATATATATATATATATATATTAGGGATGCACCAATATGAAAAATTTGTCCGATAACCGATAATTCTTTATATTTAAAAGCCAATAACCGATATATCGCCCGATAAACTTAAATCCAAATTTTTATCTAATTTTTAGAGCCTGATTACAAAAACAAAAGTCTCACAATTAAATCCACGTCCCAAGCGCACAGTTATAATGATGTTCTCATTATAGTGTTGTATAGCCGATATGACAGATTTGCGTTGCACATGTTGTCCCGAACCAGATTTTCATTTTTCAATATTCATAATCATATTTCAAGAAATTCAAAAACATAAACAGTTCTCAACAAGTGTCTCAGCTGAAGGGAATAATACATTGTTTATCGGTTTTAATATATCGGCCACATTTTCTTATCAGGCCGATAACGATAACATTAAAAATGCTGGCCGATATATCGTGCATCCCTAATATATATATATATATATATATAAAAATTTGGATATGGTATCAATTTAGTTTGAATAAATGGTAAAAATGCATCTTAAATTACCCAGAATTCAGATTATATTAGATTTGAAATGAAGAACCTTTCCGGTGACTGACTGAACACAGGGTGTTTGTGAGAATCATTAAATGCTCTGGGCTGATAAACCCCATCTCAGATCCTGCTGTACTTCGGAGTGTGAAAATACTCTCAACCGTGGTATTTTTAGCTCTGTCTCAAAGCTAGACTTTTTCATTTGGCACATTTCATTGGCCTCGTCAGTTGCTTTCCACCCACGCGGTCTCCCCGCTCTTGTTTGGAGATTTAAATGAGAAATCAACCACGGCAACACGCAGTCAGCTGCTCGGATTCAGCGCCTGATTGGCTGTCATTTTAATAAGGTATAAAGTGCAGCAGTGCTTCAATTACACGTTAACAGCTCAAGCCCGACGGTAGCGGCATCAGGCAGAATGTAAATCCGCAGGGAGTGAGGTAAAGAGTTCAGATCACAGCTAATCAGCTCACTATGAAGTCAGTGCTCTGAGATCGCTGACCTCTATTAATGCAGACAGCAACCTGACTTCATTCAGATCCACCACACAGACAGCAGGAACAGGTTTAACACACTGCAGGAAGATCTTATGTGATCATCCTCTGGATTATTGTGCAACCAAATTAAGTGCACATCTGCAGTATTATAGTTATCTAAAACTGTAAAAAGAATTGTTACTTGAGACAAATTATTAAAAAACTTGTTTTATTTCAGATAGTTGCCAAGGCAACATTTAAAATTTTCATTTAGTTTAACTTCACAGTCTCTACTTGTCTTCCATTTCAAAACTGCACACTTCTCTGCGGATTAATCAGACCAATATGCATTTAACATTTGATAAATGGTTTTAAAAATCAAACCGTTCACATGCATGTTGCATTCTGACTATGTATGCTATTATGTTGCCAAATAATTTACAGAATGCATCTCAGCTAAACTCCAAACCCAGACACGTTCAGTGCATTTTATTTTATGCAGTATTTTATTAAATCTATAAAGCTAAAATACAGGATTATGTTTGATACAATTTTAAATTTATATTATACATTTTAAAATTATATTGTGTATGATTACATTTATTTAGAAAATATTATTTAGCAGGATATGGCATCCAGTATAATAATGTTATTATAATTTATAAAATATAGTTTGCTATACTAGAAATTTACTGCTAAAATAATGTATTATCAGGCATTCTCACTCCATCCAAGTCCTCACCCATAAAGTTCTCAACCATATAGCATTATTTTCAATATGAATCAGTATATAGTACTGTAAAATTTATAAATCTATAAATACTCGCACAATGAAAATCCGCAATTTCTGGTCTAGCTAGATCCACTTGCGCTTTAGTCGACGAAGCAACAAAAAGTCCTCGCGCGGCACAAGCCATTGAAATGATTTGAATGGGTTTCGTACTGCATCGTGCCGCGTCCTGTTGCAAAAGCATGTGAAAAAAAAACCTACAAAGTTTGCTAGGCCAAAAGGCCGTTAATCGCGCGATAAAAAATGAACGCAGTTAAATTGGGTTTGCGTTTACGCTGTTAATAGCGCGTTAAACTGACAGCCCTAATAAAAACAATTTACAAATATTATAAACTACAATAGTTTCTCAATACCACTAAAATAATGCTGGTGCACATGACTCACCAGTCTGCTGATCTCCTCCTGTCGGTCTGGTGCTGATCTCGCTGTGGCTTTGATCATGGTGGAGGTTTGATTATCTGTCAGTTTCTTGATGCACCGCTGCCCTGCTACAATGTTGCACACCTACGGGAACAGCAAAGCGTATAAGAACAGAGACTGTGGGGTCTATGGCCATCCCAGCGTGCCGTGAGGAGGACAGGACTCACCTCCAGGGGCAGGTAGGTGTGTTTCTGCTCCTGGCCCACCTGTAGACAGGGCAGGTGCGGGTATTTCAGCTGCAGGTTGTACTTTTCTCTGAAATACTGAGCTACTGTTCGTTCTACAGTCTGGCCATTCTCCAACTGCAAAGGGAACCTGGAAGAAATCAGGAAATTTGATCATACACCACTCAACCACTAGAGGGCATCAAAAACCAGAGCAGAACCAGAGCAGTACATACTGTGTGAAGTGTGCAAATATCCTGCATGCAATGTGATGAGGTCATGTGGCAACAAAGCTATAGGCTACTGCTTGAAATATACATGACAATAAAGTTTTACATACTACACTCTTCTTGTACTTATTGTAAAACTTAATAATAGTACTACAGTCATAAGAATTATCATTTAAAATATTAAGACCTGTAAAAACAAAATGCTTTAATAATTATGAGGAAAATGTAATAGCCATGAAGAAAATTAAAACCGTTTTAAAATGGCCCAAATACATAACTTTATTTTATTTATTAGAATAATGACAGATCATTTAATTAAGATAGATAAATGACAGAAAATTAAATTAAGATGGATGGATGGATGACAGAAAATTAAATATGGATGGATGGATGAATGGATGGATGACAGAAAATTAAATATGGATGGATGACAGAAAATTAAATTTGGATGGATGAATGAATGGATGGATGACAGAAAATTAAATATGGATGGATGGATGAATGGATGGATGACAGAAAATTAAATATGGATGGATGGCAGAAAATTAAATTTGGATGGATGGATGGATGACAGAAAATTAAATATGGATGGATGGCAGAAAATTAAATTTGGATGGATGGATGGATGACAGAAAATTAAATATGGATGAATGGATGGATGGATGGATGGATGACAGAAAATTAAATATGGATGGATGGATGACAGAAAATTAAATTAAGATGGATGGATGGATAGATGGCAGAAAATTAAATTTGGATGGATGGATGGATGGCAGAAAATTAAATTAAGATGGATGGATGGATGGATGGCAGAAAATTAAATTAAGAGGGATGGATGGATAGATGGCAGAAAATTAAATTTGGATGGATGGATGGATGACAGAAAATTACATTTGGATGAATGGATGGATGGATGGATGGATGGATGACAGAAAATTAAATATGGATGGATGGATGACAGAAAATGAATTAAGATGGATGGATGGATAGATGGCAGAAAATTAAATATGGATGGATGGATGACAGAAAATTAAATTAAGATGGATGGATGGATAGATGGCAGAAAATTAAATTTGGATGGATGGATGACAGAAAATTAAATATGGATGGATGACAGAAAATTAAATTAAGATGGATGGATGGATAGATGGCAGAAAATTAAATTTGGATGGATGGATGGCAGAAAATTAAATTTGGATGGATGGATGACAGAAAATTAAATATGGATGGATGGATGACAGAAAATTAAATTAAGATGGATGGATGGATGGATGGATGGATGGATGGATGGATGGATGGCAGAAAATTCAATTTGGATGGATGGGTGGATGGATGGATGGATGACAGAAAATTAAATTAAGATGGATGGATGGATGGACGGATGGATGGATGGATGGATGGAAGGCAGAAAATTAAATTTGGGTGGATGGATGGATGGATGGATGACAGAAAATTAAATATGGATGGATGGATGACAGAAAATTAAATTAAGATGGATGGATGGATGGACGGATAGATGACAGAAAATTAAATTAAGATGGATGGATGGATGGATGGACGAATGGATGGATGGATGGATGGCAGAAAATTAAATTTGGGTGGATGGATGGATGGATGACAGAAAATTAAATTAAGATGGATGGATGGATGGACGGATAGATGACAGGAAATTAAATATGGATGGATGGATGACAGGAAATTAAATATGGATGGATGGATGGATGGATGCTTCAGTTCCGGCGACGGTTTGACTAACGTTTGGTGGCTGGCGGGGCGGCGGGTCACATTGCAGACCCGGTACTTCCTCCGCATGGTTCCACAGTGGGTCACCTCCACTTTCAGACCTGTACAGAAACCAGCCAATGAGAAAGAGACAAGAACATACAATGAACAATGAAACTGAAACACTGGGCAATATAGTGTTGGAGCTTTCACTCCTACATACGAGCGGTCTGATCGCCAATCTAACCTGATTTTAAATTCCAGAGCAAATCAGCAGAGCAATAGCACAGCAGTACTTAAACTATTGCAATACACACAACAAAATGGGAGACATATGAGAGTTCAAATGAGGCCGAATTGTTGGTGCACGTCTCGCTTGCTCATCTGTCATCAAGTCTTTGTGGTGCATCGAGAGCTATGGTATGCAGGGTAATGTGGACCACCACGTAAGAGGAACCACAACCAACGTAAAAGAAAGTCCAGGTAATAAAAAACAAACCCACAGCTGCCCAACTCACTGCAGACGCGCACCTCGACTCTCCTGTTTCAGGAGCTCCAGAGTCAATGTTCATGGCTCATGCTATAGCCAAACCTGTGGTCACTCGTGCCAATGCCAAATGCTGGATTCACTGGTGCAACAGTGCAAATCTTGGACTGTGGACAATATGAAACATGTTTTATCCTCTGATGAGTCTACCTTCACTGCCATCCGTGTGAGTTACGGTGTGGATAAACTCCAAAGAGGCTAAACTGTTTCTGCTGAGTGAAGCCAACGGTGGATCAGTGATGGTTGGAACTGCAATTTCATGACAATCCTGACTGTGCTTGATAGACGCGTCACTGCCAAGGACTACCAAACCATTAGGGCTGGGTATTGAGACAAATTTCACAATTCGATTCGATTTGGATTCGATTCAATATCGATTATTTTGGATATCAGTTACAATAAATGGCCATTTTTCTCAAGGGAATCAAATCTCTTAAATGTTGTATGGAGGTAATAATGAACTGTTTTGTAGCTAAACAAACACTTAAATTACAATTTTATTTATTTTTATAATAAGAAGATTATGTGAAATATAAACATTTAAATGGTGGCTGTCATAAAACCTTGCCAGATTTATTCAAATATGCATTAAATATTGAAGAACATTAAGATTATAATGCATATGTAATATGGTGTATATATTTAGCAAAATACTCCTCTCTGGAGTTATTTTTTTCTAGCTGACTAACGAGTTTATGTGGGTTTTCCGAGGTAAATATGACGATACATGACATTGATTACAAGCTGTTTAACTGACGTTTTTCCACGGTTGAAACGCTGATTGAGCGAATCAATGTGACATGATACAGATTTCGATAAGTCTTTTAACACACTTTCAGATGCTCATTCATGTTTATTTGGCGCTGTGACTGGTATTATTAACCCGGAAGAGAGATCAGCGCTGCTGCTTCTCTTGAGCTGAGCCAGAGCGATCTCACGCCACAGCGCCAAAACGTTATTTATGTTTTTGAAATTCTAAAGAAAATGGAGGTAATTTGAAAATTGAGACTTTGTTTAATATCAATAGTAACAAAGGAAATTTTTTTGGATGTGCGCAGCCACGATACACTGTCTCATTCATTCAAATGAAACAGGATGACTAATCGATTCTTGAGATTTAAGAATCGATATCGGTTCGTAAAAATGAGAATCGATTAATATCGAGAAATCGATATTTATTACCCAGCCCTTCAAACCATTCTGGAGGACTATAAGTGTGTATCAGTATTATAATGCACCAATACACAGAAAAACTGGAGACTAGGGATGTGACGGTTAGGATATTAACCCACCGGTTAAAATACCGGCATCACCGGCAGGGGCTTTTAAAACGCTAATTTAAAGGCAAACGTAAAATGTGCGCGTTTCCACGGGCATTCATAATGGTGACCGAATGGTTTAATGAACATGAAAGATAAGCTGAACATCTCCCGTGACCTGCACAGCCAGCAGATCTGAATATTATGGAGCCACTTTGGGCTTTCAGAAAACGTTTTCCTCCAACATCATCATCATCATGACCTGGCCACTGTTCTGAAAGAGAAACGGCTCAAAATCCCTCTGGCCGTTGTGAAGGACCTGTATCTGTCATTCCCAAGATGAATTGATGCTGTATTGGCCCTACACCATACTAATAAATGATTGTGGACTAAAACCAGGAGTTTCAGTTTCATTGTCCAATTCCTAAACACAAACACACAGGAACACACTTACCTTTGATTTCTTTGGTGAATTTGACTCTGTGGGAGTCTGTGAGGGGGCGAGGCTGCTCATCAATGTTGTGGATGTCCAGTACCTCACACATGAACTGAATAACTGGCTGTGCTTTGTAGAAAGCCGTGGCTGACACTGCGAGACAAAAGAGATGAAATCTGATAAAAACGCAGTTCAAATCATCATTTAGAAGAGGTCATGAGGAATCCATCCTCTGCACCAACACAAATAAAAATGTTCAGTGAGGTAGTAGCATTGAGGGAATATATATAAATCTTTTCCCATAAAAATATTAGAAAAATCAAGTTGTAACAAAGAGTAGAAGTGACTTGTTTTTGTCAGTGATCCCTATTGCAGGGCTTTATGCCAAGTGATTGCTTATGATCTACTTCATGAACTATGACAATATTTACTTTATGGTGTTTGTATTGTAATATGTTTCAGATGGTTGCAAGAGTGCATATTTTATGTACCGCTTCTTTTTGAGACATGACATTTCAAGATAAGAGTCCTGGTTTATTATGAGCTTGTTTAAAATTAAAATGTTTTTCTGGTTATTATTTGTATTTTCGGTAATACAATAAATTGTACCTGGCATTTAATTCAATGCTTTAAATGAAATAATTTTGCTTGTAAATGTTTCCTCGTATCCCTTTATTATGGAAAAACAAATGATTTGACAAATTTCACTGCACCCCTAAAGTCATCAAATCCTAAAATTATCAAATTAGGCCTTTCTGTATTGACTGTGTACCAATAGGGTATCAATATGTTTTCTAATTTGACTTCACTAAACTTTCAGCGTACTAAAATATCTGGTCCAGTTAAGATAATGCTCTTTATTAGTCCTGTGAGAAAACAAACAGAAATGTTAATGTGAACTCAAAGCCGGTCTTTCGCGCTCTTTCTGAGTCCATTCACTCCATTATTACTGTTACAATGAGCCAGTGAAAGGAGAGACGATTTCAGACGGTTAGACTTTTCCCTGCCCTTTAGTGGGAAGGGGGAGGAGTATGCGATGCAACCAATTGACTTATGGGAGACTGAGAGAGCGGGAAAACATGCAGACTGAGAGACACAGAACTGGTGAACTTGGAGAAAGAGAGACTCATTTAACGCCCCCCTTCAATCAAACAAACCCCCACCTGCCATCTTTCAGCCCTTCGTCCCCAGGGCAACAGTGTGAACAGTTCCCACACTCTGTGCTAACACACATCCGAAGCCTCGTCAGGAAACTCAAAGGATGCACACCGTCGATTAGGGGTGTGCAGGAATATTCGATCTGTAATTATTAATTGAAAAATAAAAAACTATTCGAATTTTACTACGTTGCTTTGCTGGCCCTAAATGCAGTGAATCCATGATAAATCCCAAGCACTAACTCGCAGTTATAATTAAATGCACTGGGTGGCGCTGTGGAGTGAGTTAACAAGTTGTGTGTATTTGATCACATTATGATGTCGTCTGCCTCGCGAAGTTTGGAATTACTACTAAATGGAATTACTTTGGATCAAATTAATTAATTAATTTAAGTTACAATATCATCACCACCATGAGAAATCACATGAAATACAAATAAACCCGAATATTATGCGCCCGAATATTCGAATGCAATATTTTTAAAAAATGCCCATCCCTACCGTCGATGTTGAGCATCATCTTCCACATGGCTGGCCGAACAGACTGGTGGAAGCCGAACCACACCTCCCTGCCTCCACCCAGAGGATGGTCGTAGCCCTCCGGAGCGGAAAAGAATGAGCGGCCCACGGGTGTGTACCTGAGAGGAGCAATCACAGAGTGTTATATATTTTATTAAACTTGAAGGGACTTCATGTATCCACTAAACCCTGCAGTTGATAAAGTTATAGTAAAAAAAAAAAAAAAAACTTCGAGAACACGTTAAGTCGGCATGAAATCAAAACTGACCCTATTTGTTTTCTTAGATAATGCTTAAATGTTACTGTGAAAAATATATCCATGCATATTATATATATATACATACATAGTCTGTATATATATATTTTTTTTGACTGTAATCTTTAATAAAAAACTTGCTTTTCCTCTGGTATGTTCACTTGACGTCTATGACGTATGCAAGTCCTTACAATCAACAACTAACAGATAAAAATCATGACGACCCACCCTTTTTTGTTTCCGTTTCACTAGAAAATAAACTACCTTTCAAAAGTTGTCTATCTTATGGGAAAAATAAACCTGGGGAAAATGCAGTGGAGTTTATTAAGCATCTTTTGTTTGCAGAATCCACTTGCTTATTTGCAACTTGATATTTTGATATCTAATGCATTGACATATGCAAACTGTGTTCAAATAGCTCCGGGGTCACAGTTTAACAATGAAATATATTATATGAACTATAAGTGTGTAGGCGTGACTGGGCGACCAGCTAGTGTTTATCTGTGTGTGAGACACTGAGATATGTATGGAAGCTTGTTACCGCTACTAAATATATACATATTTTTTTTAAATAATTGCAACTTTTTATCTCACAATTGCGATATGAAGTCAGAATTGTGAGAAATAAAGTCGCAATTACCTTTTTTTATTTTCATTCTGTGGCGGACACAAGCTTCCATAGATATGTCTGCACATGCACTCACTTCATGGAGGGTAGATGGCGTAGAACCACATCCACAGCGTGAACTGGGTTGGTGCTGATTGGCTTGTCCAGCTCCAAGGGCTCTGACATACTGCGACCAGTGAGTACCTCATGCAACAGGTGCCAGCTCACCAGGGACACAAACTTAATACTGACTTTAAAGGGTCGGTCTTTGCCTCCTTCCCCTGGCAGCGTAACATCCAAATCCACCTGTAGACACATAACAAGTAGTAATGCAACACATTTTTAAAAACACATCAACACATTTAAAAAAAAAAAAAATAATTCTTACAAATTTGAATAAAAATGCGATTTAAACTTCAATAAATAAACTTTCTATTTGCTAAGGATTTGCTATCCTAGTTATTTACATTTATTCATTATCCATATTTACACCCCTGGAGCAACTAGGGGTTAAGTGTCTTGCTCAGGGACACATTGGTGTCTCACAGTGGATTCGAACCTGGGTCTCTCACACCAAAGGCATGTGTCTTATCCACTGCGCCATCACCACCCCATTGTAGTATTTGTAGTAGGAATGCACAATTTGGCCAAAATTTTGTGATTCTATATAAATATGAGCATAAAATAATAATAATAATTAGCAGTAGTAGTATAAATAAAATTACAGTAATATTTCACTGTAAATAAAAATATTTATAATTCTATTTTACATTATAACAGTAAAATTAGTGCTTAATAATTGTTTATGGCAATTTCTTCATTTTTAAACATTAAACCATAAAAGTTTTATTTTGATGGAAAGCCCCTTAAAGGGTTAGTGCACCCAAAAATGAAAATGATCCCAACATTTACTCACCCTCCAGCCATAGGTGTATATGGCTGTCTTCTTTCAGCTGAACACAATCAAAGTTATATTCAAAAATATCCTAGCTTTAATATGGGAGTGAATGGTATCTGAGATTTTGAAGCCCAAAAAAGCGCATCCATTCATTATAAAAGTAATCTATATGGCTTCATATTTATAACTTTATAAACTATAATCTCTGTCTTCCGGTAACGGCCATACGCAAGTCGAATTCTGGCAGAAAAATGACTTCTGACCCGACACCTAGGATGGCTTGAGGGCAAGTAAATTATGGGAACTTTTAAAGCTTCTCTTATGTTGATAAGTGCTTCTCATCACAAGTTTGGGAAGATGGTTAATTTAGAGTAGATGCAGTCAGAAAGCCAGAACATATCAAAAATCAAGTTTTATTTTGATTAATCGTGAAGCCCTAGAATATCATGATGATTTCAATGTGCAAATTTCCTACAGAAACATGTCATTGAATAATTGATGCATCCAAACAGAGAGCACCCATGATGCCTAAGTGGGTCGCTCATTATGCTTTTGAACAGAGCGGGTGTTTCTTTACCCCAGCTGGCGCCACAGGGAGTGGGTTGGCGGTGTAGAGACTTTTCTTCCCATCATAAACGGGCCTTCGATCCCCAAAGATGGTGACTTTAAAGTGCTGCACCATGGAGTCCACAACCTCCCTGTAGAGACATCATCACTCATCAGGAGGGGGTCCACAAGAGTCAGTCATAACCTTTGAGCAATTCCTCAAACATCCTACCTGTTCACACGGCGTGGACACTTCTCAGGCTTGATGTCGACCTCATACAGGTAGACGTCCATCTTGGGGATCTCCACCTGGAAGCAGTTGGCCAGCAGCTTGATGGGTTTCCCCATGGTGCCATAGCCGGGCCTCCGTGGCACGGAGAACAGGGACTGGGCCCCAACGGCTCCTGAAGAGAGGACGACAGAATAAGACTGTAACATAACTGGCCAGGCGAGGTGGATATGTCCATAATCAAGAACAGCATTCAAAACAACAACGCAAAATAAAACTAGACAGTCCAAGGACAAATCCTGCTCATCATACAGGTGAAACTCGAAAAATGTGAATATCATGCAAAAGTTAATTTATTTCAGTAATTCAATTTAAAAGGTGAAGCTAATCTATTATATAGACTCATTACATGAAAAGTGAGATATTTCAAGCCTTTATTTGTTATAATTTTGATGATTATGGCTTACAGTTTATGAAAACCCCAAATTCAAATTTAGAATATTGTGCAAAGGTTTTAATATCTGTAAGCCATAATCATCACAATTATAACAAATAAAGGCTTGAAATATCTCACCTTGCATGTAATGAGTCTATATAATATATGAGTTTCACCTTTTAATTTTTGCACGATATTCTAATTTTTCAAGTTTCACCTGTATGATGAACAAATGTGTCAACAATTCAAGCGCCTGATGCAACACACGCTCAGCCGATGGACACACCATTTCTATTTTTGTTTGCATTGCTATTTCAACTGGTCTTTAATAAAATCATTAGAAATTATTATTAATAAATACTAAATATTTAAATCTTCAATATAAATGTGTGTGAATTGACTTTTTAAATAAAATGTTTATAGTTGAACAATTGTATTTGTAATTTATTTAAATAACAAGCTTAATAATAATTTAATAATAAATATATTTAACAAGAATACTAATAGTAATAATAATAATAAGTATTATTATACATTTTCAGTAAATTATATTATTAAAAAAACAATACCAATTCAAATATTTTAATAGTCATAATAACTAGGGATGCACCGATATGATCATTTTGGCCAAAACCAATAACCGATAATTCTTTATATTTGAAAGCCGATAACCGATATATCGGCCGATAAACTTAAATCCAAATTTTTATCTAATTTTGAGAGCCTGATTACAAAAAAAAGTCTCACAATTAAATCCACGTCCCAAGCGCACAATTATAATGATGTTCTCATTATAGTGTTGTATAGCCGATATGACAGATTTGCGTTGCACATGTTGTCCCGAACCAGATTTTCATTTTTTGAAGAGATTTCAACCATATTTCAAGAAATTCAAAAACATAAACAGTTCTCACCAAGTGTCTCAGCTGAAGGGAATAATACATTATTTATCGGTTTTAATATATCGGCCACATTTTCTTACCAGGCCGATAACGATAACATTAAAAATGAACATATATCAGCCGATACCCATATGCTGGCCGATATATCGTGCATCCCAAATAATAACAATGACAATTTTTATTATTACAATAATATCAACAACAATAATATATTTTCAAAGCTAGCTTGTACAGGTAAAAAGATGCTGAATCAAATCACATTCCATGTTAAAATATGTTCTCAAAACAACGAGTAAGAGATAAATCATGTTAATTTATGGACAGACGACAGTCAGTTAAAGCCGTGACATCATCGCTCAGCTCTGGAGTGAATGGAAACGTTTGGTTCTGAGTTTCACAGATCCCCGGGCTGAGCACCGGCACCATTCCAGTACAAATTGGGAAAGAGACTGGGTCTAAAGGCTGTCTGCTAGTGACAAAGATGAAGCCATTGCCCTCATCAGCCGGCTGATCCCTACAGAGAGATGCTGAAAATTTAATACCAGCTTCATGACAGAGTTTGACAGTGATTGCAGTTAATGGTTCCCTAACTGTGAGACGCCCAGGGCACACTAGCAGATTCATCAGCACACAACTTCCACTCGTGGGGCTTGTGAGGAGATAAACTGAGTTCAGCAACTTTGTGGAGGAAGGGGAAAAAACACAATAAGCAGAAGTGATGGGGATGCTCGATGAATCAAATGCTGCCTTTCTCAGAAATGGGATTTCTGACCCACAAGTCACTTTTGTGCAGTAAACTGATCCTCATGGCTCACACATCCAGCCATACACACTTCTGTTTCAAATACATGTCTCACCTGCATGGCAAGTGATTAGATTTCATCCATTTAAAAAAGTTATTTCTCCCTTTGCCAGATTCAATGCGCAAAGATGGGTAAGGACAACACCAATGAATCGAATTTCAACTCTGGTACCGCAATACTAAATCAAAACCTTGATACAAACAGACTATAGAATCACGTAACGGGACCATTTACCAATTTATTTTGATACATGCATGTAATCTGCCATGTTCAGGCACATAAGATCAAGACTAAGTTAAATGTCCAAAAGCTTTTCCAAATATATTCTCCAAAAATTCCACATCATAAACATTATATATTGTAAAAACGAGGGATAAGTCAGTCGAAAAGTAATGAAAGCTCAATTAAAAGGCAGACAAGTTTATTTATATACCGTATTTCACGCACAAGTCATTTTATGTACTTCACATAACAAATTATAAAACAATAATCACAAAAAGAACAAATTGATTTAAAACGTATTTAAAACGAATGAGAGAATAAAATAATAAACAGATGTATATATCTATAAACAAAATTCAAAAATACAGTACAGAGTTATTGGTTAAATGGTCCAACATGTTCTGGTTCAACAAATGGTGTAAATTTGGAGCAGGACAACCCGTTTGTCCAAACAAAGTGAGTTTTTGGTAAACCTGAATGGGGAAAAAAATCATTCATTTCGCATTTCCATTTGATACCACTAGCAGATATTATACGCTTCGCCTTTAAGATGACAACCCAGTGTGTCAAAACACAAGCAGTCTGGTTTCTGCAGGACCATCTAACAAGATTCTGGTTCAGTCCGGCATTACCCATCAATGGCCCCTGAGATCCGTCTGTGCTAAACGAATGTCAGGCTGAAAGTGATTCATCCCGGTTTGACTCATAACCGCTGCTCAAGAGCCCAGTCTTCAAAGCTGAAGAGAGCACAGTCATGTTTAAAAACACAAGAATCACTCACAGAAGCTGGCGAGGGTCAGAATGAATCATTACCTGGTGTGTGTAACAGAGCGCAACCATCGACTTCCGAGAGAAATTGATTTTTACCGATAAAAACCCTTCACGACAAACCTAACATGAAGAGGTTTGCTGCAAAATAACCATTACTCATCTAGCTTTATGTTGCTCTGTCATTTTTTTATTTTCCTTAGAAGTTATACATAAGCATGTACTCTACTGTGTTTTTTTATTGAGTAAGGAGGAGGCACTGAATTGATTAAAAGTGACAGTAAAAACATTTATGTCAGATCTCTATTTCAAATAAATGCTGTTCTTTTAAACTTTCTATTCATCAAAAGAATACTGAAAAAAAATGTTTCAGTTTCCATATAAATATGAAGCAGCAGCACAACTGTTTTCAACAGTGATAATAATCAGCATATTCAAATGATTTCTGAATGATCATGTGACACTGACGCGACTGGAGTAATGATCCTGAAAATTCAGCTTTGATCACAGGAAAAAAAATACATTTTACAATATATTCACAAAGAAAACAGTTATTTTAAATTGTAATAATATTTTCACTATTTGTAATTAATTTTGTATGAAATAAATTCAGCGTTATTTTCCTAAATCCCACTGACCGCAAACTTTTCAACCTTCGTGTACATTCCGTCTTGATATAGCCAATGCAAACATCAATCAATATGAAAATTCATTTACATTTAGATCTCCTAAATAAATGAATTAGCAAGTGCGGTGAAAATCAAAAACATTTCAAATGTTTCAATCATAGAATCATAAACTAAGTACACTGCAATGCAATCAATTGCACTTATATAGTGAATGTACTGTATATGCTAAACAATTGTTTTCATTTCAATTACTTAATTTATATTGATACTGATTCATAAAATAAATAAAGTAGCCTACTATAGTAAAGACAGAGGAATCGTTCTGCCTCCAGCTAAGCTCCGCCCACAAAAACGTCATCATGTTTACCAACTAAAAAGGGGTGTATAAATAGTTTAAATTCAATTACATAAAATTGATAACGAGTTAGTTCTAGGCAATTTGCTCAAAAATGTATATTTCAAAATTATGCCGGTTTTCCAGTTTATGATGGGGTTTTTTTTTTTCATGCATAATCAGGTGTTCAAAGCATTTTCTACTGGTTGAGAGAGGAATTACAGCAGTAAATTGCCTTAGGATGGTCTATTTTACTGTCATTATTAGTGAATATTGTAGAATAATTCCACACTAGTAATACAGATTTGCATGGCCCTAGAAAATCATGCTGTTGTTTACAAATAAGAGCTAGTCGTGATTCTAATGAAGTGAGAAATCCGTATGCAAAGAAAATTGCAGTCAAAATACACAACTTTTACTGTGCAAATTAAAAAAAAAAAATTTGAACAACTTGTATTGAACAACTTGCAATACTTTTGCTTCAAGTTCAAGCCCAGGTACATCACACAGTATTCAAGCAAGACGTGCCTGCGCAAATTGCTCGTGTTTCCCCTTTTAGGGGCCCTAAAATATTTTCTTGAGAAAAAGGGGGTCTCAGACAAAAAAAGGTTGGAAACCACTGTTGTAAAGGGTCTGTCTGAAACAGTGTTGCGCGTAACATTCGTTCAGACCGTTTTGTAATTAAATACAAAATATAAATTAATATCGTAACGAAAATATACACTGGTTTCCGGTACCGCCCAGCACTATACGGAGTATAAAAAAAATAAAGTACCTTAGTCTTATTTTCTAACAAATACTTTTTTTAGCTTTGAATTGAATCCGTTTCATCTCAGATCTGGTTGGTTAGGTTCAACTGCACATAAATAGGAAAAACCCTGTGTGCTCCCTGTTCCGTCAGGGATCCGGTTCCCCTTTTTCACCTGGGGGGCCTCTTCCAGCAGACACAGGCCACTGCGAGAGACCCCAGCCTTTCACACGCAGCCAGACCAACAGGGGGGTCTGAAACTCCAGACCATTGTGTCTTTGTCATGGAAATCACCCTCTGCCTCCAGTAGACTGATAATAACCATTTAATTCA